AGAGGACGAACTGAGTAATCAGTCAGAGTTTGAGTAATCAGTCAGAGTTTGAGTAATCAGTCATTGCGATAGGCCAATGAATGTGTTTTATTGGACATATTTCGAAAAGATCGAAAAGATCGTAATTAAGATCGAAAGAAAGATCGAAAGATCGATTTTCTTCCCAATGCGCCAGACAAACTTCAGTGCAAAATTCAACATCCTCCCCCCCCCCTCCTGGCCAAACACACACCGAAACTACGACGGTGCTACAACGTTCGAACAAGTTTTAACACCTCCTAACCAGTTATAACAACCAATATAGCAAATTGTAACAACGTTCTAATACGTCATAAACACGTTAAGCCAAGATGTAACAACTTTATTACAAGTTGTAACAAGCGGAAAATAGAGACATTTACGGTTTGTGTTTCCAGCCCACAGGATTGAAGAGGTTAATCCTGTGACTCCCGGAAGGGAAGGGAAGTGAACGGAAGGGATAATCACAAAGCCCTGACGACTATATAGCACTTGGAAGGAGTCAGGATAAGGATCTGGGATGGGACAGGGGGAGAAAAGAAATAGCGCCCAACCACTTGTAGACGGTAGAGGGGAATTGAACGCGGACCTGCATGAAGCGAGACTAAAGACGAGAAGTGACAAACTACATCCTCCCAACCAATCACTCGTTCGCCACTATCAACACCCATCTCTCTCTGGCCCTTGCCAATTGCAAAGGTCATTCGACTGCTGACATAAATTTTGCATTGTATATCTTGCTAATTTAGCGTGTATTTTGGACGGAGGAGGATATTGACATATACTACCTATATGTCCCTGTCCCCATAAAGATATATAAAATCTCAATATATCTATCAATGCATACATTAGTACTGCAATTAATGGTTATTATATTCGTCACTCACATTAAATGAGTTAATAAATATATTAAAATCTTGCAGTTTTCAGTAGTTTCTTTTTTTTCAAATATTGATTCAGTGTTGAAGTAGACATGGCCCAGGAAGATGGTGGTGCTAAGACGAAGGTGTCTACCTTAGCTTGTGTACCTTCCGGGGATCCACGGCCCCTCATAGCCCGGTCTCCAGCCGGACTCCCCGAAGACCGGGAGCATGACCCCCCCCTAGACCACTGATATATGGGACCTATCTCGGACCCCTGGAGTATTAAGGTACTAAGATAAACATAGTTCTCAGACCTCTGGATTATGGGAGTACTAAGATAAACATGGCTTCCGCAGCTCGTAAACACGAATAAATCCCAGACTTGTCCGCCATGGTAGACATAAGAGGCAGATCGTAAGAAATGCGCAAATGCTTCACAAATCCTGACACGTGACTGTCACATTATAAGTTAGGGATGACGCACAGTGAGGCCTTGACGTCACACTGGGGCTTCAAGTTTGACACGTGTCAATCAACAATTGACAGCCCCGTCCAACAGAGTAAAGGAGGAACAGTTGATCTAGAATAACAGCAATAAATTGATAAAAAACGGGAATATGGAAATAAATAAACGAATGCTGGAAACCAAAGGATGGATGTTTGGGGAGTAAAACCTATACACTGCTGAAAGGTTTTGGAGATAACCAGAGGTATGGCAGAAATACTCATCATCCTCACGTAGTAATTAGGATGTTCGTGTTTGTAGGAGAACAGAACGTCCTCATCAATCAGCCTGTTCTCATCAACACAGCCCGTTCTCATCAACCAGTCCGTCCTCATCAACCAGGCCATCCTCATCAATTAGCCCGTCCTCATCAATTAGCCCGTCCTCATCAATTAGCCCGTCCTCATCAACCAGCCCGTCCTCATCAATTAGCCCGTCCTCATCAACCAGCTCGTCCTCATCAACCAGTCCGTCCTCATCAACCAGCCCGTCCTCATCAACCAGCCCGTCCTCATCAACCAGCCTGTTCTCATCAACCAGCCCGTCCTCATCAACCAGCCCGTCCTCATCAACCAGCCCATCCTCATCAACCAGCCCGTCCTCATCAACCAGCCCATCCTCATCAACCAGCCCGTCCTCTTTAACAAAGGACAATGTTCATTTCATACAGCCACCGAACAGTCTGTTTGGTATGATAAACGCTTCACCCACGACTAACAACTCATGATGTTCGAACATTTCTCGAATGGTGTTTCACTGACGATCTCTGTTCGAATCGCAACACTGTAAAAAATGCTTCACTCACGAACGAGAAATACAAATGATTCCGAACAGAACCTAAACGCCGAACCTCATCTTCGCCTAAATATGCACAGTATGCTAATATATAGTTATATTAATATATATTTGAGAAGAATTTCTATTTTGAATGAACAGCGTAATAAAATTTATGAATGCATCTTTGGGGTCGCCCGCTGGGTGGAATGAACATAGCCTGAAGCCAGGTTGGAGAAGACACACACACGCATATTATATATGCATTAAAAAAAACATGAAACACAGTTCCTAACTTAGTCATTTTTTACAGCAATAGTTTCATATAATTTTCAAAATTAAAATTTTTGCATTCCAAAATACTAGACGAAATTTTTATCACCTGGAGGCATACAAAATAAGACGAAAGATAACGAAATTGACTATAAAGTTTGTGGAACGATCGGAGAGAAATTTCGCATGAGAATATTATTCTGGAAGATGATGAAAACCTCCTGTCACTCTCCCTTTAGGTTCGAGTCGTCTTTCAGGTTCGAGCAGTTAGCTCTTGGACCCCGCCTCTCTTACCCATCGGTTGTCTAATGCATATTCTAATTCCCGAACTATTTTTTGTTCCATCATATCTACTATTTATTTCTCACACACACACACACACACACACACACACACACACACACACACACACACACACACACACACACACACACACACACACACACACACATTTCCCCTGATGAAGCAGCCGTAGTAGGTGTCTTACTCCCAGGTACCTACTTACTGCGAGGTGAAAAGATGCATCAGGCTAAAGAAACTCTTCCCATTTGCTTCTGCCTCAATCGTGAATCAATCCCTGGCCCTTAGGACTAAGACCTGGCTCTCTGTGTGTGGGTGTGTCATAGATGTGTGTGTGTGTCAACGATGTCTGTCACTGTTACCTGTGTCTCTCTCTCTCTGTCACTATTGTGTGTCTGTGTCACAGATGTCTTTGTCTTCACTGTTGTCTCTCAGGTAACCTTGCAAGCCTTTTGTAATGCAGTATTGACCTTCATTGAGCTGCTGCAAGGTTGTAAGGCAACACTACTCTTGTGAGTAGGTGTTGCTTTCTTGAAGACACTGTGTTCTTGTGAGTATGTGGTCTTATGTTGTATGTGTGTGTCTGTGTGGTCTTATGTTGTATGTGTGGTCTTATGTTGTGTGTGTGGTCTTATGTTGTGTGTGTGTGGTCTTATGTTGTGTGTGTGTGTGGTCTTATGTTGTATGTGTGTGTGGTCTTATGTTGTGTGTGTGTGGTCTTATGTTGTGTGTGTGGTCTTATGTTGTGTGTGTGTGGTCATATGTTGTGTGTGTGGTCTTATGTTGTGTGTGTGGTCTTATGTTGTGTGTGTGGTCTTATGTTGTGTGTGTGTGGTCTTATGTTGTGTGTGTGTGTGGTCTTATGTTGTGTGTGTGGTCTTATGTTGTGTGTGTGGTCTTATGTTGTGTGTGTGTGGTCTTATGTTGTGTGTGTGTGTGGTCTTATGTTGTGTGTGTGGTCTTATGTTGTGTGTGTGTGGTCTTATGTTGTGTGTGTGGTCTTATGTTTTGTGTGTATGTGGTCTTATGTTGTATGTTGCGTGTATGTGGTCTTATGTTTTCTTGTCATATTTATGTTTCATTAAACACATGTGGCGGGAAGGAAATTATGTGGAGCAAGTGTTAAGACAGAATGACTATGGCACACATGGATGGAATATGTGGACAGGATAGGAGCTGGGATATGTGGACAGGATAGGAGCTGGGATATGTGGACATGATAGGAGCTGGGATATGTGGACAGGATAGGAGCTGGGATATGTAGACAGGATAGGAGCTGGGATATGTGAACAGGATAGGAGCTGGGATATGTGAATAAGGATAGCAGTTAGTCGGGATATGAGAGGGGAAGAACGATGCTCTACCACATGAGCCATCGGAGATCAATCTCTGATCTGCAAGAAGCGAGGCAGTGTGTTCATCAGGCTTCGCTTCTTGCAGGTCTGCGTTCAATACCCGAGAGTAATCCTCATAATTACGTAACCTCATGTGAGTCACACTTATTTTAGTGTGAGTTTCCTCATTCTTCGTGAGGCACTTTATGGTATACAGGTGATTGTGGTTTATTGCGTACACTAATTAATCCAGTTTATGAGTCATTGAGCTGTTAACTGCAGTTCTGATTGGTGATTCAACCTGCCCTCTTACTGAACGCAAAATATTATCTTAAGCCATTACTTCTGACGTAAAAATTGCAATGGTTTACATGACTTAAAAAAAAAACCTTTGTATTGAAGCTTTCAGGGAATAGAGAGATTTTTCTCCAGTTGATTTTGATGCTTTTAGATAGACTAATCCACTGTATTTTTTTTTACGGATTGGGTAGTTGATAGAACGGGTCCTCGTGGGCTAATGTAATCTCTACGCTAACAACTACAGTTAGGTGCGGGCTTCTGTAGTTGATACTAGTTATCTCAGGCCTTGAACCACACCAAGCTGGATGATGCTAACATGATAACAACATGGGTAGCAACGGTTGGGCAACAGCAACATGGGCAGCAGCAACATGGACAGCAGCAACATGAGGCAGCCTCAACATGACCAGCAACAGCAAAATGAACAATGAACATCAGAGAGATGAACAACCAAGAGAACTCGAGGAACAAAAGACAGCTCCAACATATGAGTCACGTTACCATCATTAACTTCAACCAACTCTTGCAGAAAACTTAATTACATTTTTCTCTGTCGAAAATTTGTCGTTAAAATGTAACCGGTGAAAAATAGGAGGAATAATTACCTTTTAATCCAGTAAGCTGGTTGAAGGTTTATATTTCGCTCAAACTGCCATGCTGAGTGGGATACTGGGATATGCTGCCATGCTGAGTGGGATACTGGGATATGCTGTCATGCTGAGTGGGATACTGGGATATGCTGTCATGCTGAGTGGGATACTGGGATATGCTGTCATGCTGAGTGGGATACCTGGAAATGCTGTTATGCTGAGTGGGATACCGGGATATACTGTCATGCTGAGTGGGATACCTGGATATGCTGTCATGCTGAGTGGGATACTGGGATGCTGTCATGCTGAGTGGGATACCGGGATATGCTGTAATGCTGAGTGGGATACCGGGATATGCTGTCATGCTGAGCGGATACTGGGATATGCTGTCATGCTGAGTGGGATACCGGGATATGCTGTTATGCTGAGTGGGATACCGGGATATGCTGTCATGCTGAGTGGGATACTGGGATATGCTGTCATGCTGAGTGGGATACTGGGATATGCTGTCATGTTGAGTGGGATACTGGGATATGCTGTCATGCTGAGTGGGATACTGAGATGCTGTCATGCTGAGTGGGATACCGGGATATGCTGTAATGCTGAGTGGGATACCGGGATATGCTGTAATGCTGAGTGGGATACGGGGATATGCTGGTATGCTGAGTGGGATACCAGAATGCTGTCATGCTAAGGGGGATACCAGAATGCTGTCATGCTGAGTGGGATACCAGGATGCTGTGATCGTGCTTTGACGCCAAGATGTCGCAAATGAGGCCAATATGTCGTAAATGACGCCCAGGATATCACAAATGACGCCCAGGACATCACAAATGACGCCCAGGATATAACAAATGACGCCCAGGATATCACAAATGATGCCCAGGATATCACAAATGACACCAGGATGTCATAAAGGACGCCCAGGATATCACAAATGACACCAGGATGTCATAAATGACGCCCAGGATATCACAAATGACGCCCAGGATATCACAAATGACGCCCAGGATATCACAAATGACGCCCAGGATATCACAAATGACGCCCAGGATATCACAAATGACGCCCAGGATATCACAAATGACGCCCAGGATATCACAAATGACGCCCAGGATATCACAAATGACACCAGGATATCACAAATGATCACCAGGATATCATAAATGATCACCAGGATGTCGCAAACTAACGTGTTTCAATAATCACTACCCATTCCCTCCAGTTATCAAACTATTGCAACTCACTTGCATCCTCGGCCAATCAAATTCATCCTCGGCATAGTCAACATCCTCTTCAACACACTGCCCAACCGTTCACAGTTCTCTTCAACAGTGACGAGGAAAACATCAACTCCACTTCTTTCTCTTCCCTTAAGGGGGCAGCATTTCTCTACATCATACGCTAACGCACACACACACACGCACACGCACATACTCTAGGGAATCTGTATACTGGTAGATTGACGGTTGAGAGGCGGGACCAAAGAGCCAAAGCTCAACCCCCGACAGTCACAACTAGGTGAGTATAACTAGGAGAGTACACACACACACACAATCAGGAATCCAAAGTCAAAGGTAGGCCTAAATAATACTTGATATTGTAATTTACAAGTTTCAAAATGTTGTAGAACCTATGCAGTCATAACACTGTTTTTATTTGCATTATTTTAATAAATTATTATTATTTGTGATAATTTAATTATCAAATAATAATTATTTTTGTATTATATTTTTGAGTTGCAATCAACTGATAAAAAATAAATTTAAAGCTTAAAAATAACAAATAATAATAATAATAATTTATTATGCATAGTCAAATCAGTCTAAAAAAAAATAAAATGACTCTCTAAGCCTCTCTTGAGAGTTCAACAAAATTCCTTCGCAGTAGATTAAGCTCTAAGCTGACGTCAAAACAGCTTACTGACACAACGTTTATTTTCTTAAGTCCTGACGTTAACTGATTGCAGGACAATATTGAAAGCTGCATCAGATGATGAATTACAACAACAGCAAAAAATATCCCCTCTACGGGCTCACCATAGCCCGTGCTACTTGGAACTTTATTCCAGGTAGCGAATCTTTAACAACAACAACAACAACAGCAAAATAGTTTCACACTTGCGACCTTTTTTTTTTATTTAGACATAAGTCGTTTATATTTTAAAATTAATTTGGTATTATGGAAGGTTTTCGGCGAGTTAATGTTAATGATGATTCATAAATCTCTTCCTTTAGTAGCTCTCAAGGGTCCTACTAACTCTTAAGAGCCTTCAGCAGCCATTCAAAGAAGTCAGCAAAGATTAAAGTATTATATATATATATATATATATATATATATATATATATATATATATATATATATATATATATATATATATATTTATATATATATTTATATATATTTTATATATATATTTATATATATATTTATATATATATTTATATATATATTTATATATATATTTATATATATTTATATATATATTTATATATATATTTATATATATATATTTATATATATATTTATATATATATTTATATATATATTTATATATATATATATATATATATATATATATATATATATATATATATATATATATATATATATATATATATATATGAGCAAAGCTTAATGGGGTCACCAAGTATAGATATCACTTAAACTCTATGAACCATCAGGATTCGAACCCAGACCACCGAGTCTCCCTGTCAACAGACTCAGCCTGCCGAGCTACCATAGTCCACAGTGTTTTATATTATAAACATATAAAACTAAGAAAAACTCAAATTATCCTGTATCTAGTTGATATAACATTTGAAAAAAATCATCGTGGGTTACCATTGGTAAAATGTCAATTTCCTCTCGAGTCTCTTGTGCCAACTTGGACAACCATGTTGGGCATGTACCCCACAGCAATCAGGGTGCAACGTTGGGGGAGACTAGCCCTAAACATCTAGCCTCCATCTTCGGATAGAAACATAGGTAAAAATTCTTAAGACTAGCATAACTGTTACAAAAAAAATACAAAACTCCTCTCCTTAGAGATAAATCATTAAGCAAAGAATAAGCTACCTAGAGTGCACAAATCTTTTCAGTATTATGAAGCAGCATTATGAAAACTGCTTTGGGATCTGGCTCGAGTATTTTCCAAATGTCGAGGCATTTTCACCCAGATCGTTGATTTCTCTCTCATTCCTATTTATTCTCGGGAGAAAACTGCGGCCGACGCTAATGGTGAATGATAGCCATACCTTTGGCGAGAAAATTAGACGACTCCCATAACTGTCAATCAATACCGGTAAAGACTCTCTCTCTGGCGGTGGAGTGAAGAAGCAGCCCCAGCAGCAGCAGCAGCAGCAGCAGCAGCAGCAACAGCAGCAGCAGCAGCAGCAACAACAGCAGCAACAGCAGCAGCAGCAGCAGCAGCAGCAGCAGCAACAGCAGCAGCAGCAGCAATGCTATTCGCGGTTGTAATTCAAGTCTGCTGAAGACCATTGTCAGGATTCGCAGTTCTAATTCATGACAGCCAGAGACCACTGTCATGATTCATGGTCCGCAATTCAACTCTGCAGACTGTCGCAATTATTCGCGATCGTAATTAAACCCTGTGACCGTCCATCGTTACGATTCGCGGTCATCAATCGTGACAACGAACTCCAGGTAGAATACAATCTCCTGTCAAAAAAGAATCATTGAGAAATTGACTGTTTTTTGAGCATAATAATCTTCCATGAAAATTCAGAAATTCGTAATTATATAAATATAATTATTTGCTAAAAAAAATCTAAATAGGAAGATAGACTGCTGTACTATCTATAGATATTTAGTTCTAATAGCTAACCTGCAGCTATATGAATTACAATTTAAATCACTGAAATTAATTAGGATTTATATTCAATCATTTGCTTGCGTATCAACAACAAAAGATACAGGCAAATTTGCACATCTGCTGGGACACCCATTAGTGTCCTGAGAATGCTAGGCTTGCTGGGACGTTGCTGGGACGCTGCTAGGACGCTGCTGGGACGCTGCTGGAACTGCAGTTTCAATGGAAGTAACAGGAGGTTATTGGTCCAATACTTTCCATATCATCTATTTCCTTCCAATATCTACAAAGTTCCTGTTTTATTTGTTCTCTTTCTCTTGGCCTCCTAAAGTTGGTCCAATTTTCTCGGCGCATATTTCCCCTGAGGTCAGGAGAGCAGGGACTAGGGACGCGTACCCTCCTGTGATGAGTTGTGGGTTCCTGTTACTCTCCTGTGATGAGTTGGGGGGTTCTGTTACAATCCTGTGATGAGTTGTGGGTTCTGTTACTATCCTGTGATGAGTTGTGGGGTTCTGTTACTATCCTGTGATGAGTTGTGGGTCTTGTTACTATCCTGTGATGAGTTGTGGGGTTCTGTTACAATCCTGTGATGAGTTGTGGGTTCTGTTACTCTCCTGTGATGAGTTGTGGGTTCCTGTTACTCTCCTGTGATGAGTTGTGGGTACCCCTGGTCCAGAGCAGATACTGTCTGTCGCCATCTGTCCAGTCCAATCAGGCGAATACTGTCCAATCAGGATTGGAATTCTGTTCGGGTCAGACAAATTGTCTCTGATACCAACAGTACTGATGATTGGATGCTTAAGGTCCTTGAGCGTCGCCCTCAATACCAGAAATGCATAGAATCAAAGACAAATTAAAACCCCGAAAAGGTAAATTATTGAAAAAATAATAAATAAATAAAAGAGACTTTAAAAATTACAGAAATATGAAGAATTGAAGGAAGGGAACTATCAGGGGATAGCGCCATGCCATTATGACTATATAGCACTCAGAAAGGGGGAAGAAATGAAGGAAATAAAGAAGGAAGTGTGTAGATAAGAGAGAAAAAACAAATAGGAGGGAAAGAGTAGGTAATAAAGGTCGTGTATTTGCAATAAGGTCTCGAGGACCTTTGGATATAACACAAAGATAATTTTCACTTCCCTTGGGTGCTGCAGCGGCTGGCTGGGACTTCTATCTCAGCCTCTTAACTTGAAGGCTAAAGGATACTTTCTCTAGACTTTCCCTCACTGCCTTTCTCAATAGGCGCTTTCTCTACTTTCGTGGCTTCAGACGTTAACTCCTTCGCTTCCTATATATTTTTTCCGCTTTCTTGTTGAGCTTTCTCTCCTTGGCTTTCTCCAAAATTGCAGTGGTTCCTTCCAGATTTTCTTTAAAGCTTCTTCCTTCTTCCACTTTCTTCCAAGCTTTCTCTTTTTGGCTTACTTTAAAGTTCGTCTCCCTGGCTTCCTCCGGGAAGTATATATCTTTGGCTTCTTCCCCAAACTGTTAAAATCTTCATTTTCTGCCTGACACTAAACACTGGTTTCATGGGAGTCTTCTAACTGGTTATCGCCTCGACGACCCCCATTACCGCTTCGACCCCCCGGCTCCAGCTTCGACCCCCCGGCTCCAGCTTGGCCCGCCCCCGGCTCCAGCTTCGACCCCCCTGCTGCCGCTTCGATCCCCCCCCTTCCCCCTCTTCGACCCCCCCCCTTGGCTGCTACCCTTCACATTATTGTCTCATTATATTGCCCAAA